CCCCCCTCCCCTCCCTTCCCCTCCCCTCCCATTCTCTCTCTTCCTCTCTCAGGGCTTGCCTATGGGTTCCCTTTGCCTAGGGCATAGAGATGGGGGACCTGCCCAACACAGCTGGTGTCCCCAGCTGACCCAGGGGTGGGGGGGAAACCCCAGAGCTGCTCCTGGCCCCTTCTAGCCAGAGCTGCTTTGATCAGTTGCGAGGAGAGTTGGGTTCAGGCAGGGACAGCAGTGTTGGGCAGGTCCACCCTCCCGTGCTTTTTTGCCCAGTCCTCTGGTGTCCCCTGGTGGCTGGAGCAGGCACTGAAAGTGGGGATCACCCACTGCCAGTGCTATTCCTGGCTGAGCCTGGCACCCTGTGGAGTTGCTGCCTGCAGCTAGAACTCCAGGCCAGGCAGGGGAAACGTGGTGGAGTGGGGAGGAGCAGGGACACATCCACTGCCAACAAGCCAAGCCTCCTGTGCAGACTTTCTCCATAGTCGCCTACTGGAGAAGGGAAGAAGTGGTCCTGAGGCTTCCCCTGCCCTCAAGTCAGCCAGAGACGGTAGTATCACTGGGCAGGTTCCCACTTCCTCAACTGCTCCCTACTTGGTCCTCCCCCAGGTGTCCTATGCCAGCCTGGGGCTCTAGCCATGCCTTAGATTCCACAGAGGATGCAAGCATCCAGGGTGCTGGGAAGCCACTGATGTGTGGCCCACAGTGGGGAAAGGGGTTCAACCATGTCCCCCCATGTGTACCTCCACTGGATCTGCCCCTGAGGATCATGAATTATTTTTAGTCATTACAGACTTTGCAGTCATTGAAGCTTCAGTAATTATGGGTGGATGAATAGGGCATTAATTTTGGGTACTGCCTCAGTGCAGGGCACCAGAATGGAGGCAGGGGTGCCTCTCCTTCCTCCTTGCATTCTTCACCTTCCCTGCAGTGGCTCTGGCAGGGCAAAATATTTGTTTCAGGGTAATTTTATGCACCCTGCAGAAGGTTCTCACAAATTTAAATTATAGGTTACAATAAGAAAAACAATGCAAATATAATTTTTACTCACTTGTCAGATTTTATCTCTGATATAGTTAAAATATGAATTATACAAACAAAAATGTAAAGTGCTTATAATTTTAAAAAGCAGAATTGAAATAGACTTGGAAAGTGTTTAAGCTATGTTTTTTATACAACACACAAATTGCTGAGAACTTGAGAACAGAACAGAATGAGAAGAGAGTCTCTAATTCTGCATTATGGTGTCTTCCCAAGTTAATACGGGGAACTTTCTTGTTCTTGCTAATGACATTGTATTGGCATTTAAAAAATGAAAGTTCCTGGTGCCTATTTCTCAGTGTAATTCTCTCTCTATCAGAGGAAAGACTTCTGTTTGGTATTTCCAGATGGCTTGTGACACTCATGTCAGTCTCTGAACTTTAAAAAACCATAGCTCATTTTTCTGAAGTGGATAGTCTGGGGTATTTGGAGTGGGACTTTCCTTCCAGCTTTTACATGTATATGTGTATTCATGAGTGAGCAACTGTGCTTTCCTGCATCAGTCATATTCAGAGTTTTGAAGAGAAGTGAGAGAGAAAGCAGTTAGATCAGAAGCAGGAAATCCAGAAAGTTCAAGCCTACCACAGCACTAGTTTTTTCCACATTTTGGAAAAAAGGGGACCGTAGTAGTTGTTCACCTGTAACTCTCTTGGAGTGCTCTTATTGCCAGTCATGAGAGCATAGCACACCCCAAGAAAGTGATCAGACTCCCAAGTCTGATGCAGAAGAATACACTTCAACATCTAAAGTGAGTATTGATCTAGGCCTGCTTTCCATGTGTTAGGGACTGATGCGTCTCACGCAAGAGATCATCAGATCCCTTTTCCACTGGGATTCCACTGGTGGCATGAGAGGTTTTTTTTTAAAGATGATTTGAAGGGCTTTTCGTGTAAGAAAATGTACCCAACCTTTAAAACATTTTTAAATGAATGTCCAAACATTCTTACATACCTAAAGCATCCTGTAACCTGGAATATCATTCTGGTACTGGCATGCTTCACTTACTTCATAGCATAGTAGGGTTTTTTACATAAATATTAATTTAAAAGTCCTGTGCTGTTGAACTTCTATTTTTAAAGGCAGCACTCCCAGGTCACACTCTTAATACTACCCAAGTCCAAAATTTGGGGCCAAAATTTGGCTTTCAGTAGTGCTGAGCTGACAGAGAAAATTCTTCAGAGTTTCTAAAACACTGTTGCCAGCAAATTTAAACCTATAAATAGGAACCATCTTGTTAGGAAGTACACAAACGTAATGTTCTGTGTGAGTTGTATCATTCCCTGGTTCTGTTCTAAGAGCTATGATACTGTTGTAAAGAAGGGGAAGGATTTTTTTGGCAGCATTACCACTTATATCACACTTATTTCTGTTCCATTCAAAACAGGAAAATAGTAAATTTCTGTCAAGTAGATAAAAGGCAGAATGAGCAAAGTGGAAAAGAGGGTTTCTCAAGCATGAACAATTTATTTTAAAGAATCCTTTTTTTTTCCTTCCAAAAATGCAGTTTAATTCAGAGAATTGCTAAGAATATTGATAGTAAAAAGTTCCTGATTTAAACAGATTAATTGATAAAAAAGATAAGATTTTGATTGTATACTAGATTTTTTTTTGCAATTATGTCTTGCAGTTTATGTACATTCTTGGTATTTGTCTACTGATTGAACTAATTGGTGGAGTTGTGGCATTGATCTTCAGAAATCATGTGAGTAAAATTAGTTTAACTTATTATTCCCTAGAGTGTGACATGTGAAGATATGGCTATTCAGTGAGTGAGTTTTTAAATTGTCATCTGAGCACTAAACTACAAGGGACTAAAAAAGATATTGTGTTAAGACTAATGAAGATAAGTGTGTCCCCTCCCCCACTTATTAGTAGAGGAAAAATAGAATTGCAATAAAGTATACAAAAAGACTAAAAAATAAGGAGAAAGTTACATACATGGCATGTGAGTAAAAAAAACTGAAGGAGAGCTAACATTTTCTGTGCTGTAAAATATTTCCTTTGCTTTATCTTTCTTTGCTTTACCTTTTGCTGCGTATGAAGTTTCCAGCTACTTTTGGAGATGTAGGCACCTTTCAGTAACCCAGTCTGTTTTACACATCCTTCTCCTCTTCTTCCTCAGTAATGAGATTAATTCTTGGAACAGATCAAACACTTTGAATACTGACTTAAATTGAAGAAATGGATTTATTTGCGGACAGTATTTTATGGCTGTCAGTAGTCAAATATATTGTATTAGTAGGGGCTTCCAGCATAAATATATCTGCCATCTTCAGTAGCAGAAGTTCATGCTTTTGGCTTTTTTGCTTTTAGTGTGGGAAAATAGGTGAAAATATCAAGAAAAGAGAAAGGAACAACAAAAAAAGTCCTCTTCCCATATTTTCTACATTATCCCATATTAAAAGGTATTTTATACTATACAGAGCTTTAAAAATATCATTAAAAAAGACAAATCTTACTGTATTATTTCTCATTATTGAATTGAAACAAGCTTCTGGGTTCCTCCTTGTTTTTATTTCTTTTTTCTTGGTGCTGTCATGAAGTTCTGAAATTGAATTGTGACTTCAGAAGACAGGTCAAGTGTCAGGGGTCAGGGCAGCTGGCAGGTTAAACTGCCCCCTGTGGAATACTTCCAGCTGGCCCTGTGGGTGTGGCTGCCTGCTTATAAGAAGCAACACTGTCAGTGCCCAGCAAGTTATAGGCAACCTCTGCTTAATGGGTTCTAAAAACAACCAAGCGTTAAGTGGAACTGTGCTAAGCGAAACCCATTTTCTTATAGAAATTAATGTAAATAAATATAATTGGTTCTGCTGCTTCTCTGCCCTTCCATCGCCTCCTGCCGGCTTGGGCCCAACGCTCCTGGGCCCTGCAGTCCTGCCACCCCGCCGGCCCGGGCTCTGCACTTATGCCCCCCGCCTCACCATTTCACTGCTGCCACTCCTCCCCGCCCATCTGCCAGCCGCTTCAGCACCATGTGCTGGAGCGGACCTCGCACTCCTGCCACCTCACTCTGGGCCCCACCAACCCTGGCCATAGGCACTGGCTTGGGCTCCACGCTCATGCACCCCCCTCCCCACCTGCCACCATCCCTACCACCTTCTCCATCCAGCAGCACACCAAGCCACCCTCCTGCTGCCTCCCTGTGCTGTGCCAGGGACAATCCAGCCCATTCCTGGGTGGTCCCAGGTGGTGGGAAGACAGCAAGGACAGTGCACAGGGTGCTGGAAGCCCTGGTGACCTCAGGGAAGAGTTGGATCCAGCTGGGTGCTGCCTCCAAGGTGGGGCAACACTCGGCCCACTAACAGGCTGCCCAGGCAGCCCTGAGTGGTACTGCCACTGTGGAGGGAAAGGCCAGGGCCCCCCTGCAACTCAGGGGCTGCTCAGCCTGCTGGCTCGTCCCTGTCCCCCTCCCCTGCCCCCGGCTGTGGGAGAGGCGGGCAAGCTCTACAAAAAAACAAAAAGGTTTGGGCTCATCGTTGCTTCTGCCTTTAGTGGGTGCCTGTGGTGTATTGTGTGATGCTCTTAAGCCACACAGAGGAAATGTTTGTCATGTGTACATGGCGATGATTGTCATGTGTACAAGCACTTGCCCCCATGTTCCTACCTATTTGTGACTTTTTACTGCTTGTTCCTACTTCTTGGCTTACTGGCTTCATCCTTGTTCCTGGTTTCTCCACTCTTTGCTCCTGACCCCTGTCCAATCCCCTGTCTTCTGATAGCCAACTTGTGGCTCATAGCTTGTAGCTTTAGTTTGGCAGTTGCCCACATTCGGTCTTTACAGCTACAGCTGCCTGTTCTGCACCCTCCGGCTAGTGACTGTGCTCTGGATTCCTGTTTCCTGTTCCTGACCGCTCTGCATTGTGGCTGTACTCACAGTGACCATGAGGTCTCTTACAAACCTCAGCCTCCTGACCTGCCTGCTCTTGATCCCCTGACTTTTGACTAGTCTGGACTTTGTTGTTGATCTTGTCTGCTCCTGATCCCCTGGGTTATGACCAGGTATCTGGGTTTTCTATTTCCCACAGAAAAATGGAGAAAACCATAGATTTCCCCTTTTATCAGAGAAAACGCGGATTTCTCCTTTTAGCAGAGAAACCCATGGATTCCCTGCTTTTGCAAACAGCTCTGCAGGCTGGTTGAGCTCTAGCCTGCAAAAGCTGTTTGCAAACATGGCGGGAAACCCCCAGCCCTGCCTGGAGAGGGAAGGGTGGGGCCTGAGGCTGTCACTCAGCCACAGCCCCCCTGGGCTTAGCTCAGGCTCACTCTTTGCTCCTGGAGCCTGTGTATTAAGTGGGGCTTGCTAGGGGCTGGAGGTCCCTCTGGCAGGGCTGGGGGGTTGCAGGTCATAGCTGGGGGGCACCGGCAGGGCTGGGGGGAGCCAGGAGCTGGCCCTGGCCCTGGCCCCACCCAAGCAGGTGGCAGGAGTGGGGGAGCTGACTCCATGCTGCTTCTACTGCAGCTGCCTGCTGTTGGGGGCAGGGAGCTGCAGACATGGGTCCCTGGCCCCATAGTCCTGGCAGCTGGGGGCCCCCTCCAGCAGGGCTGAGGAGCAAGAGGCATGAGTAGGAAGGGGGGGTTGTTGTGGGGGCAGTGAGGGCACCAGCAGTATTGGGGGGCTTTGGGGGCAGTGAGGGGCAGCATCAGGGCTGGGGGTAATTCCACTTGGAGTATGAAGAGAGAGGAAGCATCAAAACGAAATCCAGCAATAGTGCATAATTCATTGGAAAGTATCAGAGTGAAGATATGTCATTGTAAATAAGCTGTTTTGGATTCAGTTAATTTGTTGTAGACTAGCAGAAGGTTGCTGTTGATTTTTAACAGAGAAAATGGATCAAATGGTCATTATTTTTTTGTTGCTGTTGATTTTGGCTGTTTAAGCAGGGAGACTGAGAACTGAAGAGACCTGACAGTAAACTAACCTCTGTTAGAAGAGCTTCATGTTAATATTTGGGGATAAGAAAGCAATTTTAAAAGATCTGAATAATTCAGTGATGCATTGCTTTGAAATATGTACTGCAATAAAGGCTGGCATTTTGCATGAGTCACTTGCTTGTTCATTTTCTCATCTTTCTCTGCTTCTTTCTCAAAGCTGGGAAGTTGCATTGCTTTTGCTTGAGTCATACTTTCTGTAAGAAATTCACCGGCATTTCTTTGTCATACTTTATCTTGTATTACAATGGAAATGTCAGGTGTGTATCTGTTTTTAATGCAGCTTTTTTGTACAGTTTGTCCCCATTGCTTTAGTGCATACATTACATTTGAAGTTGTTATGACACTTGGAATTGGTAGGGCCATGTGTGTATTCTCTAAGGGCTGTAGTTGTTCTTAATCTGGATTCGTCATGTTCATTGTACAGTAAACTTACTGTGGCTTGAAAATGAGCAATACTGACATTAGTCTTTTTCACTCAAAACAGATTATATTGTTCCCAAGATTCAGATATAAAGCCTGAGTACTCAATACAATGCTTTTGCTTTTTTCTTAAATCTGATGATGTTTCAAGGTACGCAAAGTGATTGTCATGGGAGACTCCATCCTGAGGGGGACTGAGGGGGCAATCTGCCATCCCGACTCCTTAGCCCAGGAAGTTTGCTGCTTCCTAGGGGCCCGCATCTGTGACATTGCGGACAAGATCCCTAAACTCCTCCAGCCCACAGACCGCTATCCCATGCTCCTCATCCATGTGGGCACCAATGACACAGCTCAGAGTGCTCCTAGCCGAGTCATGAGGCGCTTCAGGGATTTGGGTGCGGGGCTAAAGGGTCTGGGGGCACAGGTGGTGTTTTCTTTGATCCTCCCAGTCTCGAGCTATGGGCTGAGGAGGGAGAGGAGGATCCACGTAGTCAACCAAAGACTGCGGTGCTGGTGTCATCGGGAAGACTTTGGCTTCCATGACCACAGTCCACTCTTTGGAGAGAGAAGCAATGAGCTGTTGGGAAGGGACGGCCTCCACCTCTCTCCACTGGGGAGGAGGCTCTTCTCAGCTAGACTGGCTGACCTGCTCTACCGAGCTTTAAACTAAGCCTGCTGGAAGATGGGGAGACTACTGCCGCTGCTGGCCCACCGAGTGACTCTGGCAAAGCCAGCAGGCCAAGGCACGTAAGGGATCCCACCCCAGCCCCAGCCCTGAAACAAAATGTAAGCAAGGCAAGAGCCCCTAAGGGGACACTTGTGTGTCTATACACAAATGCCAGGAGCCTGCGGAATAAACAGGAGGAACTTGTTTTCCTTCTAAAAGCAAATAACTACAATGTCATTGGGATAACAGAGACTTGGTGGGACTCTGCCCATGACTGGACCACGGGTATAGATGGCTATACCCTGTACAGGAGGGATTGAGTGGACAAAAGGGGCGGGGGTGTAGCTCTCTATGTCAAGGAAAGCTGTGCGTCCCTGCAAGCTGACATTGGCACCCATGGTGGATGACTGGAGACCCTCTGGGTTAAAATCCATGGGGAACATGGCACAGGGGATACTATGGTGGGGGTCTATTACAGACCCCCTACCCAGAGTCAAGACCTCAACCAGGAGTTCACTAGGGAATTGGCTGAGGCTGCACAATCCTGGTGTATGGTTGTCATGGGAGACTTTAACTACCCAGATATCTCATGGGAGGAGCGCTCGGCCAAATCCGAGCGGTCGTAAAGCTTTCTCTCATGTGTGGACGACCTCTGTCTGACTCAGGAAGTCTACAGGCCAACA